GGGAGGACTTTGTAGAGTAGGGGAGATGGTTGGACTCGATGATCCCAAGGGTCTCTTCCAACCTAGACGATTCTATGATTCTACGATTCTATGAAATGTTAGGGGGTGAAGCGGAGGATCCCCCCCCCAACCTCTGCCTACCCCCTTCCCCAGCCCCTGGTGTTACCTGGAAGGGGTCAGTGACGTTCAGGGTGACGCTGACGGTGGTGGCAACGGAGGGGACGGGCGTCGGGGAGGTCTCCTGGGCAGCTGGTGTGGGTGAGCTGGCCTTGGGCGATGCGGAAAGGACTCAGGGTGAGGAAGAGAACGCTGCAGCAGAGGGAGGTGCTGGCCCGTGTCCCCTGGGGGGGGTCAGCAGGGCCAGGGGACACCCTGCTTTTATTTTTTGGGGGGGCACCATCTTGGGACATCCCCTCCCTATTAAAACCTGGCTTTGGGACACCAGTTCCCATTTTGGGATGAAGAACTGGGACTCCCACTCTTCAGGGAACGCCACTGGGCCAGAGGGGAAATCGAGCCAGGGGTTGGGCAGCTGCTGCTGCTTCCAGTTGTGGGGGTGGCTGGTTTTTTTCCCCCCCACACCCCCCCCCTGGCTCCAAACAGCAACTGGAGCAGGGCCACCCCCTCATCGGGTCCCTCCAGGCCCCGGCTGACTCATCGGCAGGAGGGGCCACCAGCCCCGGGCCGCCCTTGGCCAACACTTCCCAGCTGCAGCCGTGACCCATTTCCAGAGCCAAAGGGGCCAAAGGCGGAGGCTGGAGGGGGGGGGACAACCTCCTGCCTCCCCCCCAGATCCACCACCAGCTCCTGGGACACACTCTGCAAGGCCAGGAGCCACAGGGATGACTCAAGGACCTGGAGAGGCTGGAGAGGTGGGCCCAGGTGAACCTCAGGAGGTTCTACAAGAGCAAATGCAGGTCTGGAGCCCTCAATATAAGGACATGGACCTGATGGAGAGGGTCCAGAGGAGGACCATGAGGATGATCAGGGGGTTGGAGCAACCTCTGCTCCGAGGACAGGCTGAGGGAGCTGGGGGTGTTCAGCCTGGAGAAGAGGAGGCTCCAGGGAGACCTTCTTGCTCTCCACAACTCCCTGAAAGGAGGGTGTAGAGAGGTGGGGGTTGGTCTCTTCTCCCAAGTCACAGGTGACTTGGTGTCCCTCAATGGTCCATGCTGGGACCAGTGCTGTCCAACATTTTGATCAATGATCTAGACAGGGGGATTAAAGGCACCATCAGCAGGTTTGGGGATGACACCAAGCTGTGTGGTGGTGTCCATACACCAGAGGGATGGGAGGTCATCCAAAAGGACCTGGACAGGTCAGGGGGATGGAGCAACCTCTGCTCCGAGGACAGGCTGAGGGAGCTGGGGTTGTTCAGCCTGGAGAAGAGGAGGCTCCGGGGAGACCTAATAGCAGCCTTCCAGGACCTGAAAGGAGCCTACAGGAAGGCTGGGGAGAACCTGTTTAGAAAGGTCTGCAGTGACAGGACGAGGGGCAATAGCTTTAAACTGGAGAAAAGCAGATTTAGGTTGGAGATGAGGAGAAAGTTCTTGACTGGGAGGGTGGTGGAGCACTGGAACAGGTTGACCAAGGAGGTGGTTGAGGCCCCATCCCTGGAGATACTCAAGGAGAAGCTTGATGGGGCAACCTGGTCTAGTTGGGGGTGTCCCTGCTGAGTTTGGGGGGGTGGGACGAGATGACCTTTGGAGGTCCCTTCCAACCTGGGCAATTCTATGATTTTATGATTCAACCCCAGGTGCCAGCGGGATTGGCATCTTCACAGAGATTTGGTGGCCACCTGGGCTACCCCGAATCGAGGGGAGGAGCCGTTCTGGCCACAGCCCCACAGTCACGTCCAACAGACCCAAAGGTCCAGCTCCATGGTGGCACTATGTCTTAATAATGCCTATAAAAGCCTACAAACTGATTAGTACCAGCCAGAAAGGCCAACTAGATTTGTTTTGCTATCGGAGTAGCATCCTTAGCACAAGAGAGTGAAGAATTTAACGCCTTGAGTCGATAGATAAAATAAGATAAAATAAGATAAAATAAGATAAAATAAGTAGTTGGAAAAGAACAATCAATAGCAGTATTAGACCAATCAATTAGATCATTATCAGGAGTAGAGTTACAAAATCGTAGAGGGTTAGATCTTAAAGGACCCAGAAAGGCCAACTAGATTTGTTTTGCTATCGGAGTAGCATCCTTAGCACAAGAGAGTGAAGAATTTAACGCCTTGAGTCGATAGATAAGATAAGATAAAATAAGATAAAATAAGATAAAATAAGATAAAATAAGTAGTTGGAAAAGAACAATCAATAGCAGTATTAGACCAATCAATTAGATCATTATCAGGAGTAGAGTTACAAAATCGTAGAGGGTTAGATCTTAAAGGACCGAAGTCCTTTAAGTCTTAAGTCCTTTAAGAATGTAATTCTTAATTAAGAATGTATTCACTAGTTATCACTAGTTCACTTAATTACCTCAAGTTACACTCCGTCACTACCTTTTACCCCCTGATTTGCACATGTTCACAGTGCCTTATATTTTCTATTTAAGTTTTAGAAAGAAGATATTTTAGCAGGTTTAGTCACTGCACCTTAAGTTTTCTACTCTTTATATGCACCTTAATGCACTTTATAGATGCACTTAAATGCACTTCACTTGAATCACAGAATCCCAGAATCTTCTAGGTTGGAAGGGACCTTCAAGATCATCTTGTCCAACCATCAACCTCACTGACAAAAATAGACACCCCCACAACAACTCAGCCTCTCCTCATAAGACTTATTCTCCAGACCCCTCCCCATCTTTGTCGCCCTTCTCTGGACCTGCTCCAGCACCTCAATGTCTTTTTTCTGGTAGGGGGCCCAAAACTGGACACAGTACTCAAGGTGAGGCCTCACCAGTGCCCAGTCCAGGGGGACAATCACCTCTCGGGGCCTACTCGCACAGGCCAGGATGCTGGTGGCCTTCTTGGCCACCTGGGCACACTGCTGGCTCCTGTTCAGCCCACAGGCCACCAACACCCCCAGGTCCTTTTCCATGGGGCAGCTCTCCAGCCACTCTGCCCCCAGCCTGGAGCTGCAGGGGGTTGGTGTGCACTTAAGATTGTATTTTAGCTAATTTAGTTAGGCTGTACGGAAAGACAAGGCCCCTCTCCCAATAGTGTTTAGTCTGTGATGGAAGCAGACGGGAGGTGACGTTGTAAACCATTGCCATATAAGGCAGTGTTACTTATCAATAAATGCCATTTTATCCTCCACCACGTTGGTGTCTGCGGGTCGATGGGGGTAGTGGTCGCCGTGTCTGTCCTGAACCAGGTCACCACGTCTACTACAGGCAACACCAGAGGTGGGTTAGTCATGTTCTCTACCTGGTTGCCCACCACGGAGGGCACAGCAGAGGGTTCCTGCTGCTCCACCAGCTCCTTGTTCCTCCTCTTCTTGCCCTTGCCCTTGCGTTTCCCTTTCCCTTTTCCCTTTTTCCCCTTCCTCCGTGGGGCAGCTGTAGGTTCTGGGTCACTCTGAAGGGTGCAGACACCATCGGGGAGAGAAATGTGGGTCTCAGGGGATGTGGCAACCCCCCCTCCACGATGCCACCAAGCCTGGTGGGGCTACCCAGCAGGGTGGGGGGTCCCCAGGGTGCCCCCCCGGCCTTTTTTCTCCCCAATTTGGGTGCTTACCTCCTCCGGGAAGGGGGCCAGGAGGGGGTAGAGGAGGGGTTGGTCGCAGGCTGGCATGTAGAGCTGGCAGTAGGAGCGGGCAGCCTCGGGGTCGGCCACGATCAGCAGCTGCTGGACGTCACCCTGGGGCAAAGGAGAAGGGGGGAGCACAAGGGAGAGGGTTTTTTTGTCCCCCCCCCCATATCGAGGGGGGCCAATCGAGTGGCCATGCACACCCAGGGTGTGGGTGCTCGTGGCCAGCCCTGTCCCCGTGGCCACCAGTGGGTCCGTGGGTGGCTCGGGGCAGCCAGAAGGGACACCCCCTCAGGCGGGTGGAGGGTGCAGGGGGGGGCAGAGGGGACAAAGGGACCCTTGTCTGCCTGCTGGGGACAAAATGGGCGAGGGGGGGGCGAGCCTTGCTGCCTCAATGCTGCCTCTTTGCCCGTGGCCTCTGACATTTAGAGCGGGCAGGAATGCAGGGAGGGCCACCAGGTCACCCCACGGGGATGGGGACACCCCACGGGGACGGGGACAGCCCACGGGGACGGGGACACCCCATGGGGACAGGGACAGCCCACGGGGATGAGGACACCCCATGGGGACGGGGACACCCCACGAGGATGGGGACACCCCACGGGGACGAGGACACCCCATGGGGATGGGGATACCCCACAGGGATGGGGACATCCCACGGGGACAGGGACACCCCACGGGGATGAGGACGCCCCACAGGGATGGGGACACCCCACGGGGAGGAGGACACCCTACGGGGATGGGGACACCCCACGGGGACGGGGATACCCCACGGGGATGAGGACACCCCACCCAGCACCCACTCAGCCCCCCAAAACCCACCCTGTGCCCACCCAGCACCCACTCAGCCCCCCAAAACCCACTCTGTGCCCACCCAGCACCACTCAACCCCCCCAAAACCCACCCTGTGCCCACTCAG